GAGAAAAGAGGTAAAGAGACACAGAGACAGAGAGAGGATGGAAGGGAAGAGGGAGACAGGGAAAGTCCTGTCTGCCCCAGGGGAACAGCAGGAAAGACAGCGGAAGAGGGTGGGGGCGTCTTAATTTTAAAGGGATCCTTTGCACATGGGCTGACCAGGGTACTGCCTGAGTGCATTCTGCCAGGTGATAGGGGCAGGCCAGCATAATGACTGGATCCTTACAAAAAAGGAAGCCCCATCTAAAGAGGTAGGAAGCAGAGGGAAGAGGGGACCAGTCCTCTCAGAATTCTAACAGTCCTCTCTCAAAGGAACTAATGGGGTTTTGCATCCAAGGTCAGTGTTCACAAAAAACAAGCATCTGCCACCTGGCCCTACCTTGCAGACACCTGGCCCTACCACTTTCTAGGACTTACTCGGAGAACCAAACTTCAACTCTCCAACCTTTGGGGCACAACTCACCTCCAAACCTTAGCAACACCCTAAGCTTCTGGTCCTTGGTTGGAATTGTTTCCTGGTTGATACCAGCAGCATCTGTTAACTTCATTCTTCCTGATTCCACCTCTTGTTATTATATCTTTTAACGTTGTATAACCATTGGCTTGTTTAATACATTTGTCTTTTATGCCATCCAAGAAACCAAAAAAGGAACAATAGACTAAAAACATAATTCTCCTCTTAAAACAATGTTTAATTGTTTTTGAAAGCAAGGATCTTTATATGGCTTTAGTTAGTCTGTTCTCATTTCGGTGTAAAAGATCCCTATGAGTTTTTTGTTGTTATTGTTGTTGTTGTTGTTGTTTTGTCAACCATGCCTTCCTGCTTTGGAAGTATCTTACTTTTGCCTTCAATTTTAAAAGCTAGTTTTGCAGGATGTATTCTGGGTGGACAGGTTTTCCTCCATTTAGAACTTTAAATGTGTCATCCCTGTAACCTAGATGGTGTCTGCTGTTAATCTTATGTATTGAGAAAAAGTTGCATCTTGCTGTTTGCAAGCTTTTCTTCACATGTTTGGACTTTGCTAACTTGGTTATAGTGTGTTCAGTTGTGGGTCTCCGAGTCTTTCCTGCCTGGAGCCCTTGAGGCATCAGCAACAAATTAAAATGTGTCTCCATCAAATACCAGGAGACCTTCAGGTTAGTTTTGGCTTTCTCTGTTCCCCCTAGGATTGCCGCCAGTCATGTGAACCTGAGGTTAGTAGTTTCTGTAGGTTCTGGAGCTTCTCTTTACTTCTCTCTTTTCCCTTCCTCTTCCACAGGCTAGTCTCTGCTACCCTGCAGTGCACTCTCCCTGCTTCTTACAACAGCCTAAGTCTGCAGCTGGGCATCTCATGATGTCCTTCAGTCCTCCTTATCTAGCGTTTTCCTGATTTCCTTTAGTTCTGTGCCCAGAGTTTCCTGCAGCACAGAAGAGAAGATTGTTCATTAAGAGGTTTCCAACTGCATCGCCTTGTCTGAGCTATCTCAAGACATTTTCTGAGGCTTCTTTTCCTGTGACTGCCCATACTTGGCTGGTTCTTCCTGGGCTTTGTAAATTTTTATGAAAGTTGGGACCCTTGAATCAATATCCAGTACCAGTTTGCTAGCCAGCTCTACCCAGATAGAAAGTCTGGGGCAGGGGTGGTGGGTGAGGAGTCCTTCATGTGCAGGGCTTGGGCTCTGTTTGAATCCTTAGGTTTTGGAGGTCAGCCACAGCAGCAACAGCAGGTGGCACCCTCTAGTGTTAACATCTTTGTGTAGACCTGAGATAATGGGGCCCTTACCTCTACAAGTGCTAGCACTCTTGGGGAGTTCCAGGTAGATGGGATTTCTCTGCCCTTACTAACAACCATTGGCCCAGCTTCTGGGCAGGTCCCAGGTACTAGAATTCCTCAGTCCTTGTTACAGCTCCTGAACCTGGGGAGTCTGACATTCTTGCAGGAAGTCTTCACAGCTCTCTGGGATTCTCCTGACACCAGGGCCTGCATCTTATCTTCTCTCCAGGCTCTGTCCTTCAGCCTCAGCTTCCTACCCTCTTTCTACCCTGTCAGCCATCATGTCTCTGCTGTGGCTGCTCTCTGGGACTGTTCACTGCCTCGTGTTGCCCTGGCTGCCATCAGTGTTGCTGCCATTCAGGAGAGGTCCCCGGCTGCTCTTAGCTGCTGCCAATGTCTAGCAGCACTGCATCTTCTGCAGCTGCCAATGCAGCCGGGAACGCCAGTGCTTCTGTAGTGTGGCCTGCTAATGCCTCTGGCCTGCCTCTTCTTCAGCTGTGAAGTAGTAGCAACCTGCTCAGCTCTGCCCCTTCCCCAGAAGCCAACAGCTGACCACTCGCTAACCCCATGGCTCTGTGTGCTGGTACCCGCTATGACTGCCGGTGCTGTCCCATTGCTTGCACCCTTGCCCTTAGTCTGCTCTTTCTGATGCTGCTTTCCTCATTTCTTCTTCCTCTCTCTTACTCATACACACAGCACACTCTACTTACAGCAGGCAACAAGAGAAGCCTTTACTGGGCATGATGTTGCAACAGCAGGGGAGGCAGCAGGAAGATGCCCCCAGCTACTCACCAATTAGCTGAATAGCCCTATGGAACAGTTGGAGGAAAGACTTGTGCACCAGTCACAGCAACCTTCTCATCTGAATAAAGATTGGTGTTTGCACCAATCCCAACATTGTCTTATTTGTACCAATCACAATAATCTTTTTAGGTCACAGGAGAAGTGTTTCTTCTCTGGCCTGGGGGAGCAGGTTGGGGGAGGCTATCTAGAGTTCACCAAGGCTTATGATAGCAAAAAGTTGGGGGTCAATGGTTTGAAACATTGACCATGTTTGGTCTGTCATATGACTGCATCTTCAGGAGATAGATAGAGTAAGTGGCTGTGATCTCCATGTAGTTTCTTCAAAGTGTCCCTGGAGTGCTCAAAATGGCCAGTGTGAGCACAAGGGTGGGATGACTGCTGTTTGACTGACAACCCTTTTGCTTGGGAAAGCGAGAGAAGCAAGGCAGAGTCCAGCAGTCGCTAAGTAGTGTCAAATTGACCAGTCTACAATTCTTTTCTCATTTATAGGAAGTGAACACCAGAATGAGCACTTAGAATATACCCCTAACTTATGATTGACACTGAAAGTTATCTTAACAGTGTTTACCACCTGCCCAGTGTCCCAGGGAAGGGGCTGTTCCCTCATCTGTGTCAATTACTATGGAAATCAGAAATACATTCTTAGAAACAATAACTGATCAGAGAAGGGAGCCAGACTACACAGAAAAGAGCTCCGCCCATGGGTTAACAAGGCCATGCATTTGATTGTTCCTGGCAGAATGCACTCAAAAACTACAAAGAGAGCTCCATCTTAAATTGCCTCAATGGTATGTTTTTGTGGTTGGAAGGACATTGCTATTCTAAAGCCGTCTATGTTGCTACAAAGTTAACCACAATTATATTGAAGATAAAGGATTCTGACATGGTTGGGAGAAGATGCAGACCTGGAATTGAAGGGTTAAGTTAAAACCACATAGCTGCCAATTCGTTTCAGAAATGCCAGTATAAACTCGTGGCATGTCTGGCAGCTGGAAAGTTGAAAATAATGACCACCTACAGAGCGAAGAACAACTTGAGCACAAAAATTGTGTCATCTAAATCTTGTTTTCATTGAAAGGTACCCACACTGTCCCAGATCTGAGTCAAGAAGTGTGTAAGGTGGTTCCAGAGTCCTCAAAGAACCAGGAGGCTAGTGAGAAGTTGAAGTTCATAGATACCAGGTAGACCCTAAGGGCCCAAGGGTCAACCTGAGTGTGCAGTGATGAAGGTGACTGAAACATGTCCATTGAGCTTAGATCCATGTTTCCTAATGATATATTACCCGACCCTACTCTATCCTGCACACACACACACACATACTCTGAGCTTAGATCCATAGTTCCTAATATACTACACTGCACCACACACACACACACACACAAACACACACACGCACGCACACGGACACATGGACACGGACACACGGACACACACAGACACATCAAACCAAACCGAAACACCTATTAGTTGGTTATCCTTGCAGAAGGCTCAGGAACCAGCTTTAAGCATAATAAATATAGATTAAAGATGATAAAACTCATTATTTCAAGAGGGAATCAGGATGTTTTCCAGCATTTTTTTGTAGAAATTTAAACACTGCAGACAGTAATCCTGAAATTCACTTAGAAGTAGGTGTGAAAGTTCCTGGTAGCTGTGGGTGACAATTAGTTCCATTCCACCAGGCAAAGAGGAGAGGAGTGGAGAGGAGAGGAGAGGAGAGGAGAGGAGAGAGGGGTTCATAACTGTTATACCATATGAACCTCTACCATATCCTATGTGACCTGACTTAAAGCATAGAAAATGGGGACTGGTGAGAGGCAAGATGAGCGTTCTTGAACTTGATACTAATGAGTGTTTAATTTTAATATGCATGGCAACAGCACTTCAGTAATATTTACAAAAATGCCTCACGATTCTTTAGAAGTGCACACTGAAACATTTAAGAATGGAGTTGTAGAATTCCATTTATGGCAGGGTATGCCCCATGGGGGAGGCGGTGAGGAACAGCTGGCCCTGAGGTGGTTGATTTCAGAGGATGGGTGATGAGTACCCAGGGCCTCTTTATAATTTTCTCTCTTGCACATGTACAAAATTTTCTACACTAAAAACAAAATCAATTTAACATCCTTCTAATCAATACACTCCTTTCCTCGATTTTGTTTAATAAGTTCTGGCATGTTCTTATTGAGCGTCTGGAATGCATAGTATTTTCAGGTTTAGCTTCTAAAATTTAAATTATAAGTTCCAAAGAAATTCATGGTAACTTGCTACAGCTATTTAGGGTAATTTGAAGCTGCTGTCTTGAGAAACAATCACATTTTCCTTTAAAACGTATAAATATTGTTCATGTAATTACTTCGTCAAGCCAAAGTGTTTGTAAAGCCAAGCCATTTTCCCTCCAAGCCGAGCCAAGTGGGTAATCAATTTGTGTTTGGTTTGCTTCCAGATCACCTTCTTCATGCTGCTCTCTGCAGTGTGTGTGATGCTCAACCTAGCCGGCTCCATCCTCTCCTGCCAGAACGCCCAGCTCGTCAGTTCCCTAGAAGGCTGCCAGTTGGTGAGTAGTGCAAGGCAAATTCTCTGCAACATCAGAGGATCGGATGTTGCAGGAAGACATTTAAAGGATAATTGTACTATGTTCTTCATGTCTCCAAGAAAGATGTATTAATTCATTAGCTTTTTAGTTACTTAAGGGATTTCAGTCACATTGGTTACATTGGTTCATTGCCAGGAATTCTCCTGATTAATTATCCCTCATGCCCTTTTTTAATGAAGGGTCCCACCTATGTAGCTATGACTGGCCTGGAACTCATTATGTAGACCGGGATGGGTTGGGTTCAAACTTTTGAAAATGTTCACACATCTGTCTCCCAAGTGGTGGGATTACAATGATGCCCTTATTGCATTGGTCTCTCTCTCTCTCTCTCTCTCTCTCTCTCTCTCTCTCTCTCTCTCTCTCTCTCTCTCTCTGTTTCTCTCTCTCTCTTTCTCTCTCTCTCTTTCTCTCGTGTGCCTGTGTGTATATGTATAAGTATATATTATGTGCCTCTGTGTGTGTGTGTGTATGACTATGTTTGTGACTGAGCCTGTGTGTGCATGCATGTGGGTGTAAGTATGAATGTACACCTTAATTAGAATTACTGTTGCTGGGGGCTGGAGAGATGGCTCAGTGGTTAAGAACACTGACTGTTCTTCCAGAGGTCCTGAGTTCAATTCCCGGCAACCACATGGTGTCTCACAACCACCTTGAACGAGCTCTGATGCCCTCTGCTGGCATGCAGGCAGAGGACTGCATACACAATAAATAATAAAATAATTTTAAAAATTACTGATGCTGTGATGAAACAACACAACTAAAAGAAACTTGTGGAGGAAAGAGTCTATTTGGCTTATATAGCCTGAATCTCAGTCCATTTAGGGATGCCAAAGCAGGAACTCAAACTGGTCAGGAACCTGGAAACAGAAGCTGGTGTAGAGGGCCTGGAGGCTTATTGGCTTGCTTAGCCTGCTTTCTTATAGGCCCAGGAGTGGCACCACCCACAATAGGTTTGTTCCTCCCATATCAATCACTAATTAAGAAAATGCTCTACAGGCTTGCCTACAGCCCATTCTTATGGAAGTAATTTCTTAATTGAAGTTTCCTTCTCTCAGCTGTGTCAAGCTGACATAAAAACAGTGTGTGTGTGTGTGTGTGTGTGTGTGTGTGTGTAAATATGTGTGTGCCTGTGTGTGTTTGTATGGGTATGTGTGTGTGCCTGTCTGTATGCCCACACTTGCTGGTTCAAAAGAACTATGCACCTAGGACAATTGCAAGTTCTCTTAGTTAGTGTTTCTATTGCTGTGACGAGACACTGTGACCATGGTAGCTTTTATAAAGGAAACATTTAGCTGGTACTTGTTTACATTTTCAGAGGTTCAGTCCATTATCATCATGGTGAGACATGGCAGCATGCAGGCAGATATCATGCTGGAGAGTTAGCTGAGAGTTCTATATCTCGATCCTCAGGCAATAGAAGCAACTGTGTGTCACACTGGGCATAACTTGAACAGAGAACTCAAAGCCTGCCTCCACATTGACACACTTCCTCCAACAAGGCCACACCTACTCCAACAAAGCCACACCCTCTAATAGTGCCACTCCCTACTGGCACCTTTTTCTTTCAAACCACCACACAGGCATGTGCTTGCTGTACCTTACAGTGCATCAGGAAGTGATTCACTGGATAGAATTCTCACCTCAAGGTACATCAGTTTGTGATCCTACAATTCTCTCAGCTCTCCAGAACAGACATTACAGTTCATCTGATGGCATGGAATATGGGTCATCTTAGACTCCTGGGGCACCACGGCCCCCAGGTGCAGGGACATTGACATTGCTCCTCATTTTTATGACAGCACTGAACTCCCCCTTTGAGCCATGCTACTCGCCAGCTGCCTCTCTGCTGGGGCTGTAGGTGATCATTCTGAGATGTCAAGAGGGAAGTACCCTGAGGATTTCTGTGACAGGGCTGTGCTGCCTTTCCTTGTGGTCATGTTGTTTAGGGTCAAGGAGGAAAACTGACACAGTTTCAGTGCTACTGAGTTACAGAAACTAATTGTTGGAGGGTGGTCTCAACTGTGTTCTAGAGACCATTGGCTAGCTAACAGTCCTGTGCTGTGACATTGACAGCACCATCCTCTGCAGCTGCCTTGTCCCCATGGTTACTAAGAACTCATAGAGCCCGGACTCTACCTTTATCAGCAATGAAGCCTTGCCCTCCTGCCTCCATGGCTTAGCATCCTCTTTGTTCCTATGTATGTCATGCCATGGACATCGTATGAACCGGTCATTTACAGGTGCTCAGGCAATTATATTTGGGATTCTCATTTTCCTAGGCAAAGCACTGTTGGACCGGTGCAAGGTAAAGTGGCAATGCCTGGCAGCCCAGAAAACGTGAAAGCTCACACACAGTCTCTGGGCTTGAAGTGCTGTCCCTTACAAGCCTTCATGTTAATCTCTGACCCTGTTCTGGAACATCAGGCACTGGAAGGAAGAACAGGAAAGTTAGATCTGGTTTCCTCATGCTCTCTAGTGAGTGAGAAGAGCGTCATATGCACACAGAGGACCGCGCTGATGCCCCTCTTTGACTAGATGCTGCAGTGGAAGCATCACCACCTGTCTCACTTAGAGGGGACCCGAAGTGTCCCTCTGCTCAGGCACACACAAGCCAGTCCTCTGAGGCTTAGGGGGCATGTACGGAATAGTGAGAGCTCTGTTTTTGGAGTCATCTGACTTTACACTGTGCCCTCCTCTCCCCCACTTTTCTTCCCTTTCCTATTATAAGTGATGATTCCTTCCTCCTCTTCTTCATAGAGGTAGACATCTATAAAAATGTGAAAAATGAGCCCCTTTTTCTTTAACTGTTGAAGTAGATAAAAGTTAAGTTCATTTCCAATTTTATCGATCACTTTTCAGTATCTTCCCAGGCCTTCCTATGTATACCACATATGTGCAACTATATCTTTATGTAGTGTAATTACGTGTGCTCTAATACCCATGTTGCTTTGTGACTTGCTTTGCAATTGATCATGAGTGGTGTTCCACGTTTTAGAATACTTTTCTACAACTAACTGAATTCAGTAAGATTCAAGAGGAAATTCACCAGCACCAAGTCAGGAGCTGTGATGATCAATATGTCAGTGTCACAAGGTTTAGAATCTCCTTTGAGACAAATTCAGGATTTACCCATGAGCAGATTCTCTAGATTGGGCTCGTTGAGAAGGGAAGTCCAATCTTAAGTGTGAGTAAGCCATTCCATGGACTGGAGTAGCACATTGCATTAAAAGAGGAAGTGAGCTGAGCATCAGAATTTTCCTCTCTCTGCTTTTTTGTTGCTAAGTAACGAACACTCTCTGGCTTCTGCCACCATGCTTTTCCCACTATAATGGATTGCAGCCTCAAACGTGAGCCAAAATAAGTTCTTCCCTCCTTGACTTTGGTGGAACAATGAGGAAATGTGGTGGAGGCAAGAAATGTATGGTGGATGGTCAGCAGGCAGTGCATGGGGAGCTGGCCTAGGTGCTGAAGGCATGGCCGTGCTTGAGACAGGAACCTGCAAACAGGCGTGGAGAAGATCAACTCAGAGCAGCCTCAGTTAATGCACGTATGTGTGCACTTTGCTTTGATAAAGTGAGTTTGATTTGGGGGAAACCCATAATTCCATCGCTTTGAGGCTTAGACAGAAGAATCACAAGTTACCTTTGGCTGCCCACTGGTATTTCATTTCAAAAAACTAAGAGGAGCGCTCTTGGTAATGAGCCCAAAGCCCTGGGTTGAATCTCATGACAAAAAGACAGACAGACACACAGACACACAGACACACACAAACACACACACACACAAATAAATAAATAAATAGTAAAATGTATGAACTTATTTCTAATTGGTCTTCAAAAACAAGGCACCACGTAACACCTCTGCCAAGAGTATGTGACTGTGCCTGGTTTCCCAGCTCTAAGCAATGCCCTTTGTCAATCCGGCAAAGAAAAATGAGATATCATTACATAATTTTCATGTCCTTAATGAAAAGTAAGGTTTACATTTTTTGTTATTTAAATTTTATGCTAATTTCACTGTATATATGTTACTTATTTTCTGTTATGTGGTCATTTTTATGATTAGTAACTACTTGCTGTGTTAAGAAGCCTAGACTTCATTAGATATTGTAACTTCTCTTTTTTCCCCCGTTTGTTATTTCCATGTTGACAATTGCCGTGGTGCTGTTTCTGGAGGGAATTTTTTATGGTGTATCCAATTCTTGTCCGTCTGCATCCCCTGCTGAGGTCCAGGTCACATGGTTTACCTAGAAAATTTCCAACCTTAAGTTTATGAACAGTTTTCTCACTCCTCTAAATTTTAGAGATCTTTTTCTTAAATACTGGTAAATTTTAGGAGTCTTGGATTTGTTTTTTTAAAATATTTATGAACTTTGTGTGTGTGTGTGTGTGTGTGTGTGTGTGTGTGCCTGAGGGTATATCTGGGAACCATGTAAATACAGAAGATCTCAGAGACTGGAAGGGGGCATCAGATCCCCTGGATCTGGCGTTATAGACAGTTGTGAGTTGCTGTGTGGGTGCTGGGACCTGATCCTGGGTCCTCTGCAGGTGCTCTTAACCACAGAGCCATCTCTCTATCCCCCAGGTTTATTTTTATGAAGGTTACTACACCTTTAGTAGTGACCGTAAAGAACACACAGGTGGGCAGCACCTGGGGAAGTCATGTGGGTGGCACTCGGAGAGATGGGGCACAGGACAGCACCTGGGGAAGTCATGTGGGTGGCACTCGGAGAGATGGGGCACAGGACAGCACCTGGGGAAGTCATGTGGGTGGCACTCGGAGAGATGGGGCACAGGACAGCACCTGGGGAAGTCATGTGGGTGGCACTCGGAGAGATGAGGCACAGTTGCTAGCAGAGAACCCATGAATGCTTTCGCCAGAGGCTTCTTTCCTAAGAGCCCACATAGGAGTTGAAAATCATTTAGGGATTTAAAACGAACATGCTGTTTCAATTAAATTCA